CAAGGCTTGCTATCCTACAAAAGAAAGCTCTCAGTTTGGTTTCACATGATTTATTCTTTACAAATATGATCAATGTTACTTATGTTATTATCTTCCAGATGTTTGCAAATGGATTCCTTAATTATTCCATTATCTTTCCTGGCACAGAAGTTAAACTGACATCTGTAATTTCGTGGGTTCCCCTTATTTCCCTTTTTACAGATGAACAGTATCTGTGCCCTTTTCCAGTCTTCTGCAATCTCTCCCATCTTCCATGACTGTTCAAACATAGTAGATAATTGCTCAGATACCTCCTCAATCAGCTCCTTGAGTATTCTAGGATGCATTTCATCAGGCCCTGGTAACTTGAAGATGTCTAACTTTTCTAATAAATTTTTCACTTTTTCTTTTCCTATTTTAACTTCTAAAGCTACCTCCTCTTCTCCAGCATCCAATCACCACCAACCTTCTTGGTGAAAACCAAAACAAAGTCGCTAAGCACCTAAGCCATTTCCACATTTTCTGTTACTGTTTTTCCCTCTTCATTGAGTAACATGCCTATTTTGTCCTTGGTTTTTCTCTTGCTTCTAATAGATTTGTAAAAAGTGTTTTTTTGATATCCTTTATGCCTCTAACACAGGTCACTGACTGGTCTGTAGTTTCCAGGATTGTTCTTTTTCCCCTTTTTATAGATGGGCACTATATTTGCCTCTTTCCAGTCTTCTGTAGTCTCTCCCGATTTCCATGATTTTTCACAGATGATAGCTAAAGGCTCAGCTACCTCCTCTATCAGCTGCTTGAGTATTCTAGGATGCATTTCATCAGGCCCTGGTGACTTGCAGATATCAAATTTTCTAAGTAATTTTTAACTGTTTAACTTTTAAACCTCCCCCATTTCCACTAGCATTCACTATGTTAGGCATCCCATCACCATCTGACTTCTTGGTGAAAACCGAAACAAAGAAGTCATTAAACACCTCTTCCATTTCTAAATTTCCTGTTGTTATTTCTCCCTCTTCACTGAGCAATGAGCCAGTCCTGTCTTGGTCTTCCTCTTGCTTCTACAATACAATGTCTTCTTGTTACCCTGTGGCTGTGTCTAGACTGGCCAGTTTTTCCGCAAAATCAGCTGCTTTTGCGGAAAAACTTGCCAGTTGTCTACACTGGCCGCTTGAATTTCCGCAAGAACACTGACTATCTCATGTAAGATTGTCAGTGTTCTTGTGGAAATACTATGCTGCTCCCGTTCGGGCAAAAGCCCTCTTGCGCAAATCATTTGCGCAAGAGGGCCAGTGTAGACAGCACAATACTGTTTTGCGCAAAAAAGCCTCGATGGCGAAAATGGCGATCGGGGCTTTTTTGCGCAAAAGCACGTCTAGATTGGCACGAACGCTTTTCCGCAAAAAGTGCTTTTGCGGAAAAGTGTCCGTGCCAATCTAGACGCTCTTTTCCGCAAATGCTTTTAATGGAAAACTTTTCCGTTAAAAGCATTTGCGAAAAATCATGCCAGTCTACACGAGCTTGATTGAGCTCGTTTTGTGACTTTGCCTTTCTAATCTTGCCTCTGCATACTTGTATTGTTTGCTTATATTCATCCTCTGTAATTTGACCTAGTTTCCACTTTTTATATGGTTTCTTTTTTATTTTTAGATCATGTAAGATCTCCTGGTTGAGCTAAGGTGGTTTCTTACCATACTCTCTGTCCTGTCCTGATGGGAAGAACTTGGACAGTGCAGAAGTTAGAGTGGTACCCACCTGCTGAGGCAGTGCATAAGTGACCGTGGTATACCCTCACATTGCCTATGGAGATGGGTCTGATCTCCCCACCAAAAGCAGAGGGTGCAGGAGAAGGACAAATCCTGTCCCTCCCTAGCCTGATGGACTAGCAACTAGGAGTCCTCAGTTGGGGCACTCCCAGCAGCACAGGGTGATTAGATTTAATGAGGCAAAGCTTATTTTATGGTCCATAACACATTTTTCATTATTGTAAAATTGCCAGGGTCCTAGCTCTAAAAGACAAGCCTTAGGTCTGATCTTGCCATGTTTACTCTTCTTAAACTTTGAAAAGGGAAAATATAAGTTGTAAAATCAAGCTCTTCCAAATAATTATTCAGAATATTCTGGAAATGCATGGAAATACTTTAAATTTGAGCTGCCTTTGCATTTTGGTCTGCTGGTACAATTCCAAAGAGACTTTTACAAGACTTTTATTTCAACACTTCTGTGATCCTGAACTATGAACACTAGAAGTCACTTTTATACTGATCTTTTAGCCATTTGTAACTCTCTGCTTTCTTTTTTATTTTATTATTAATCCTTTAGTTTTAGTTATTTAAGGATTGGCATCAACATGATTATTGGGTAAGGTCTGAGACTCGTATTTACCTGGGGATAAATGTCCACTCCTTTAGGATTTATGGACCTCTCATAGTAAATCAGATTTTCAGTAATACATCATTGTATTAGATTTGGCTGTCTAGATGGGAACAAGGAGGTGACAATGTTTGGTTTTTTGTTAACTTGTGTGATTTTTGCAGACTTTTTTTGTTACTGGTTTGATGAATCTAATTACAGAATAAAATGCCAATTTTGGGAATTGTTTGCTCAATTTTTTGCAGTCTGCCTTGAGGTGTGGCATTCTCAGTGTAGTCTGAAAAGAGCCCCATCCTCTTTGACATAAGGGACACGGAATCAAGGCTAGGAGGACCACTCTTGTGAGATGCTAAGCACCTCCTAGAAAATACTGAATACTCTCAACTTTAAAGTGTATAGGTGAAATCCTGGTCCAACTGAAATAAATGCCAAAACTCCCATAACTTCAATAGCATCTGAATTCCTCCTGCCCCTTCTCCCCCACCCCCCGGGAGAACTGAGGGCTCTTGAAATTGGTAAGACATGTTTAATACCTCACAAGATCAGTCTCAGAATAAAATAAATATCTAGCAGTAGGCAGTGATTGGTAAAGTTATGCACAGATTTGATAAATATCACTAGATTTATAAAAATGTGATTTAAAAAATTCTAAAATGTCATTTTAAAAGTTTTTTAAAATAACTGATTTTTAAAATTTTCACAAAGTATTTACTGAAAATACTAAGGGTTTATTTTTCCCCTCACTCTTTCACCCTAGACTCTTATATACAGCCCATATATGGCTGCATTCACTGTTCTCTGCAGGACAGAGTATGGCTACAGCAAAGAAACTCCTGTGGCTGGCTCATGACAATTGACTTTATGGGGTTTATGGGGATTAAATTGGTAAATTTTCTCACTGCTGTGTAGCCTTATGGGTTTAGGGTGAAGCCCGAGCGCCAGGACCATCCCGTTCTGCAAGGTCCTAAAGCTCTGGCTCCAGCATAAGTCTGAGAGTCAACACAGGAATAAAACAGCTCAAGCCCCATGAGCCCACGATCAGCTTGCATGGACCAGACATGAGTTTAGTTTGCTGTGTAGACATACCATGAATAACTAACTTACATTGGTCCCAGTCCTACAATTATGCACATGCTTAGTCTCACTGATTTAATTGATTGTTTTGTGGCAAAAGTGTTTTTCATACCATACATTAGGTTTTTTTTTTTTTAATGTGCTTGGTGGATGAACTTGATCACTGAGTTAGCATGACATTATGCAACTTGATGACATTTTGTCACCATGCAGTCATCGTCTTGACACAAAAATATGACAACCCAGTGTGGAGTGGTCATGAGAGTCACAACATCATCACTGACGGTTTGTCTCAGCTATGTCAGGGATTGACGCTGCAGCAGTTGATCCACTGGCTGTCAATTTATCATGGTAGATGAGATAAATTGATCTCCCAGTGCTCTCCCGTTGACGCTGGTACTCCACCAGGATGAGAAGAGTAGCTGGTGTCAATGGGAGAAGAACCCCTGCTAACCTTACTGCACACGAGATGCTGTGGTAAATATGTCAACTTGACAGTGACCTTACTGCTGTGGTAAATATGTCAACTTGACAGTGAGGGTTAGCATAAACAAGGCCTTAATTTGTGCTATTAAAGGGGAAAACTGATATTTTATATATTTGTTCACAAAAAATAAAAATAAATTAGCTGCATTTCTATAGTTCCTGCTATCCAAGGATCTTAAAATGCTCACAAATAAACTGATATGCACGTTAACTAATGTTGCCCTCACTATGTGGGAGGTGAACAGTTAATTATTCACAAGAGGGAAACTGAGAAGAAAGTTTTTCAGGATTGTAGTTGACCTCTTGCCGGGCTCATTAATTTCAGGGTGGGGAGATGCGAAGGCTCAGAACATCAGGCTGTAAGTGACTTGCACAGTGGGGGCCAAGGGCAGGGAATGCAGCTTTCCCTTTGTCCCCAGCCCATCTAACTGCCCTCTAATTCCGAGCAGCCCCATTCTCCTGGCACTCTTTACAATTTTCCAAAAACAAACACGGGGCAGGAGGGCTGAAGGGAGTGCCATTGTGTCGGGCTCAACTCAAAGCGACCACCATTTTACCAGGACCCATGCTGGCCTTTCATGGTCCCGGCGGGAGGTAGATTTGGGACACACGACTCGGCTGGAACGTAACAGATCCCTAGACCCTCCCATGACCTGAGCCACGGCTCTTAGCCCCCGTCCCCTTTCAGACTGCGGGAGAAGCTTTCCCATCACACAAGCTGTGTCGGGAGGGGACTGGCGGGGGGCGCAGGCCGCCGCGCCACAGGGGCCCACCGC